CGCGCTGCAGCACGCGCTCCGCCCGCGCTCCTCGCAGAGGGCCGGCGCGGAGCGGGACGGGGCTGGAGCCACACGTCCGTCCCGAATGAGCCTTTCTATAACTTTTTTCCTAGTTCCTGAGGTACTGGAGGGCAGGAAATGAGCAGAACGGAGTAGCCCCTCACATGCTCTGCGTTATCTACCACTCACGCTTTTTCCTTGGGTGGATTCCCACTAACTCCACCCGCAGTTTTAACTTCAGCCTCTAAACTATTGCAAGACTCCCTAGGAAAGGGCGTCCTCAAACAATCCCGACATTTCTTGTGTTTGATCCCGCACCTAACTATGGAGTTTCAGCTCAGAGGCATATCTCCGCTTTCAGTTGCCTGCTCTGCTTCTAATCAGAAACTGAGCAATAAGGCTGCCTGCTGTTTGCTCAGGCAACATGAATAAGTACAGAGTATGCTGGAGAGGGATGATAGCCGAGAATAGCTATTCAGAGCAATCCCGGGACAGCCACACATTGTCATGTCATGGAGGAGAGATCAGGTGCATGGGTAGGTCTGGGGTAGGAAGGAGAGGGCCTGGTGCAGGCTCTGCCCCACTGCCTCGACGGACTGTGGGTTTGGCGGACAGCCCATGTCCTCTGTGTGCAGCAGAAGGGGAAAGCAAGGAGGAAGAGGAGCTTCTAACCTAGACTTGGAAAACAAAGACAAAACATCACTTTTCCTTTTTACAGCTACTCCGCTCCTTCAGCTGAGGGCCTCTATAGAGGCCAGCAACACAGACTCCAGCAGAGGGGATGTGGAGGTTGCTTACCCAAATGTTTGTCCCCTCACTCACCAGGCTGAGAGGGCCAAAGGCTTTGTGGCTTCATCACAGGGGACTTCACGAAGGGCCCGGCTGGGAGGGCTGGCTCTTATTACCCTAAAAACTGATGAGGTGGACTCTGGAAACTGTTGTTCCGCTCTTCAGGTCCCCTGTGTCTAGCTTGCTCCTAAAATCCCACTCAGTCTCTCCCTACCAAGAAGCTCTAGCAGGAGGAGTTAGCACCGCAGGAAGTCCTACTCACCTTCTGGGCAGTGTAACCCAAATCGTGTAAAAGGAGGGAGTCAACTGGCCTGCAAGGCCCTGGGAAGGCAAAGCTTTGCTGAGGGAGAAAAAATAACCATACTCTTAAAAATCCAAGACTGGGTAATATTGCAGCTGAAGGAGAAACAACTTTACATTGAGTCACACGTGCCACTTAAAGGTATCTTAAAACTGTAAAGATATTTCTTCATAGAATGCAGCTATTTTCAGTGTAACTGTGAAGAGATGCAGCTCGGTGGAAATATGGGTACTTCCCCACGCCTCTGGAATTTGTCTTCTCTAGAAATACATGATAAGCAATGTCTTCATTGCAGTTCTTCACTCTTTCTTTAAAAAGGACAGAAAATGAAATAAGTTGTTATTATTTGTGTTAATCAATGTTTGCATGCACCTTTCAATGGCTAACAGGAGATAGTAACATGTTAATATATAAATATACTATATAAACTATACTATACTACTCAGATAATTACCATCATCAACATTTCTTTTTATTTCCAAGTATTCCTGTTACAAGAAGTTCCATCATTCCCCTTTCACAAAAAAGAAACAATGACACAATTTGTCCCAACGCATCGCAGAAGATTAGGACAAACTCAGGACCTGGACCTAGCTCTGGAGAGTCCAGGTTAGTGTGACAGCAATTGTCTGAGTCCCTACTTGCGGAAAAAGTATTGGAGGGTTTTGAAGTCTAGCATTCCACAGCTAGAAAACAAAAGGAAAAAAAAAAAA